GTGTGATGGCATGGGTTGATTCTTATATTAACCTTTGTTCATTTGTAAAAATTTATTCATGTGTAATACTTCATGGTGTTTTCTATTTCCATATGTTGTCATGATTTCCTTATAAGAGGCTAAAGTATAAAAAGAAAAGAGAGAGAGAGAGAGAGATACATATATTTATGGCTTATTTGTCATGTGAGATTTTAAGAATCTCCGTAGGCATTGAGAATGGTTTCATACCGTGTAAGTCAATAAGATTTTGCAGGTATAAGAATCAATTTTGCAGGTATTTATATGGGCTTCAAAGGCCCATTATTAAAATTAATTCTCTTTTTATAATAAATATTTAAGTCTCATGTGAGATTTCAAGAATCTTTGTAGAGACGTAAATTAATCACATTATCGTGTAGGATAATAAATCCTCCCAGATATCATGATTCACAATTTATATGGTAAATAAATAAATAATTTTATAAATAAAATAAAACATTTGTATAATTTTAATTAATTAAATTAATGTATTTAAATTGTAACCATATTTACCAATTATATCTTTTAGTCATGTGAGATTTTTAAATCTCCGTAGACTTATAAGATAATCGTATTATCGCATGAGTCAATAAGACTCTGCAAATATAACGATTAAGTTTTTTAAAAAAATATGTATAAATTATATATTAATATAATCACATTAAAAATGTATTTAAGTTTAATTCCTTTATCGCGTGACATTTTGGAATCTCCACAGATATTAGGGATAATCATATTACCATACAAGCTAATAAGGCTTTGCAAGTATGATGATTAAGTTTCTTTGAAACATATATATAAACACTTAAAATTATTATTAACACTTAAAAATATACATAATAATATAAATAAATAAATTAAATGGCCAAACTCTTTTATCGTGTGAGATTTCAGGATCTCCGCAGATATTTAGAGCAATTGTATTGCCGTATAAACCAATAAGGTTTTGCAGGTACTACAATTAAATTATCAATCATAAAATATAAAAAAATAATAATAATAATTTTAAACCCTTTTCTTTTCTTTAATTTAAAATCCAAAAATTGAGAAAATAATTAAAATCAAATTACTTCTTGCAATTTAAAACACACATATCAAAATTTCAAAAATTGTTATTTGCAAAATGGTGAGTTATTTTTAATTAATTTCTCTTCAAAAATATTTTCACCAATAAATTTTTAAGCCCGAACTACGTGGACTTTGATCCCCATCACAGGGTACGTAGGCCTCAAAGTCAGATTCTGAGTCAAATCCGTCCTCCCAAATAAATAAACATTTCTGACCTAATTCTTATCATTTTTATATCAAACACATGAATATAAAAGGATAATTAAAATAATTATAAAACCATATTAAAAAAGTACAACGAACTTCAGGTAACCGTTCGGACGAACGGGTGTTATGGGGTGCCTAACACCTTTCCCACACTCAACCGACTCCCGAACCTATTCTCTGATTTCGCAGACCACCCTTATCCTCCATTAATCGGTTTCCCAAGATTTACCTCAAAATCTTGGTGGCAACTCCTCGTTCGATCCGGTTCTCGCCGCGAAGGCCGGGACTTCCGCTCGCGCGCCGTCCGCGTCGCATTTTTCCTGGTGTGACACCATACATATGGCAAAGAGATAAGGGGACATTGGATTTCCTTGTTAGAGGCCTTTAGAAGGATAAAAGACATCTAATGGTTCCCCATTCTAAAGTAATATGAAATTAGCAATACTAATACACTTTAGGATAAGATTACACACATGGTCATTGATTCCTAGCTCCATATGTGCATCATAAATAAAATGCCAATTTAAGCTATCATAGGCTTTTTCAAGAGATCAACTTTAACTGCCATATGCCCTATTTTCTTCTTTATGCCTTTCATATAATGAATAACTTCTTGAGTAACAACAATATTGTCACTACTCTATCTCTCAAGGATAAAGCTATTCCGACGAGGTCCAATGATTTTATCCATAAGAGGCTTAATTTGATTTGCAATCACCTTCAACATAATCTCATAGCTTAATTTCTCCCTCTGTTTTTATTTATAAGAGAAACTATCATTTTTAGCTTTTTTTTTATATAAACAAAATCACATTTTTCTGCAAGCATTTATTGCAAACTTCCTAAATTACCTCTCATAATTTTATCATTCATAGTAACAAGAGACAATTAATAAAGGCTTGATTAACACAAGTAATGAAGAGTATTGTAGTTCAATAATTTTATTTATTAATACAATTAATATAGTTAATTGATTTTTTTAAATTGTGTTATAACAATTTTTTCTTCTATAAATAAAACGAGGGAGTACATTACAAAGAGATCGACTGAAATTCTCCGATTGTTTTTAGGTTGTCCACTATTGGGATTAGGGCCAATAGAGTACTGTTCAAATCTCTTATCTCTTCTGGGTTAGCAAAAATCATTCTCACCAAGCTACAAAAAGAATGCCCAATGATCTTGGAGAAAGAAAGCTTGAAGTCTATCTGGCCGAGGGCTTTGAATAGAGAGGAATTGTTTGAAAATGATGATGGTGATGAGAATCAAAGATTGAGGAATCCTGGGAAGCTTTCAAAAGACATGGTTTCATGTGGCAGGAAGCTCTTGAGAATTCCTTGTATTTTGATTGTGAGAAAGTGGTTGGAGAACTTCGACAAAGACCTTAGTGTTGCTCTTGTGTATGTAAAAAAAGTTGTGCCTGATGCAGATGATGAAGGTAGTAATGGTATTGGTAGGGTTCATGATTAGGTAAAGTGATTTTAGGAAACTTGTGAGTATCTTAGTCTGTGTTTTTGAGTATTTGGGTTGTTTAAATTAGTTGTCTTGTAGTGTATACTTGTGAATATTTGCATATTAGTTGTAGACGGTTTTGAATTTTCAGAAAAGCAGCAATCAATACCTTGATAAATAAGGATGGCTGTTTATTGGTGGGAAGTTGACTGTTACCTAACGATGATAAGCGACCGATATGGTGGGTGGATGATTTGTGAATGTATGCATCAACAATCTAGATTCTTAAAGTGATTTTCGAATGAACTGAGATACAATCACACAAACATGCATAAGCTCTCTCTTTGTAACAAGTGAACCTATAAAATAAGGGTATATATATATCTTTTGTATCTAAATAAATTTAACAAAAAACATAAAATTTACAACAAGTTTGCAACAAAATTAATTTTGTGATGAAATTTTGTATCTATTTACGTACTCTAATGAACATCACTTTACATAGGGAGGGAGGGAGGGAGAGAGGCCAGCATGAGCTTAAATGCAACAAAAACAATTAGTTCTTTTATTCTCTAAAGCATAGTATAATTAATAGATTAAATTTCTCATCAATGCTTGAAAATTATTAAAATATATTTTTTAAAAAAATTCAAAACATCCTTTATAATTAGAACAACCCTCACATGTGCCATTTCTTTTAAAAAGTTAAGATTTTATGCCTTTTTAGTATTATATGATTATTTTCATATTATGTGGAACACTCATTAAATAAGGGAACTTTTAGCTATTCATTGGATTCAAATCCCATATTTAGGTGTGAATATCATTATATAAATCTTAATTATAGTTAATGCGATTAAATTACCAGCAAAGGTCTCTTAACTTTTTCTCTCCATTTCTCTCATCTCAACCACACATATTATTTTATTAAATGAATTTTTTAAAATTATAGAATTAATGAATGATTGAGATGGGGAAAGTGGAGGGAAATGGAGAGAAAGAAGTGGAGAGGTCCTCCCCCATTAAATTACTTTACTCCTCCGTTAAAACCATTTCTATCCTTTAGTTAGTTTTTTTTTTTTTTTGTAATTTCCGCTTTTGAAACGGCAGGGCCATCGGCCATGGCTTTATTTGGGCCAGTAAGTGGAGCTCCAGATGTTAGAAAATCGGGTCTACGGGTCTAGGTTTCATATCATAAATACTCTTTGGTGAAGGCCCAATCAGCGTCCTAATAAGCTTCTAACTGTCACGTCGCATGGGTTTGATTTATTTATGGAAATGCATATGCGACAGTGCAGCCTTTGTGATCCGATCAAGTCTTGTGATTGGATTACGTAGCCGTGCGCAGTCAAATTCATGATATTTTATTTCTTTCTTTCTTTTTGACCTGACCAATACATGAGATTAACTTAACTGTGAAAACCTGACTTTAGTCACCTAATAGTCTCGTGGATAAATTCCTTGCTCTAGTTGATGAGAGATGATAATATCTAAACTATATAAAGCAGAAATCGACTCAAAGTTCCAAGGTTTGATCGGGACAAACGCCTCTCATTCAAGTTCTAGAAATTAAACGATGGTTAAAAAAAATTCTAGAAATTAAAATATCATTAATTTAGATCCCTATATGCTCTACATCATTAAATTATATTTTAGTTTATAAATTAGATTTTGGTCTCCTTAATTTGTCATCAAATAAATTCCTATATTTACATTAAAATTATTATTCATATTATCAAAGTTATGATTTGATATTTTAATATAAAAGTATTATACTTTATATAACGATGATAATTGCAAAAAAGTTGAGGATAATATAATTGTTAGTCTCTAAATTTTCTTGCAATTATTAATTTAGTTCCTATTGTTTAGAGGGAAAATCGAAAATTAAAAAATCACGGATAAAAAAATACGTTTTCCCTAAAATAGTAACCTTACTTTTTCAGATGTAGAGAGGATGAACTTGATTTAGCCTTACTTTATATTCTAAATCAGTATTAAAAATGATTATACAATATATTTAAATTATATATTAATATATGAATATCCATTATGAATAACTTTTGTTAATAATGTACATTAATTAATTAAAAAAATATCCTTCTTGCGCCGTTGACCGCGTGGTCGACGACTCGACGTAGTTATATATAACACGTGGTGATAGCTAGGAGAGAGAAACACATTTTAGCTACGAACGAGTCATTCATTTTCGATACTTTATTTATATATCCAAGCTTGGGAATAAGCGATAACATAAACGCGCTTGGAAGTTTGACATTAAAGGGAATCGAATAGTATTATAAACATTGCAGCATTCAACATCGTTCATTAAACTGCTATGGTTCAGATTAATGGGGACCATTGATGCTGAATCGGCGAGAGCCCAAGCTGCACTTTCTTGGTCGCACCATCCATTCATTCCAAGTCCTTGTGCATTCTTCAGCTGGGGTAAGACCATCTTTTGAAGCATGCGCTTAGCCTTTAATTTGATTAAAACACTCATACAGTTAATTCTAATCCGAATTCATTAATTTCTTCGGTACGTGTTCTTTATGCAGCTTTGTTTGTAAGTTACAATGTGGTGGAGTATGCATGTGTGTCAATCCTGATAACCTTCTACACACAAGAAGCTATGCAAGATCGTCTAGCTGAAGCTGCACTTCTCTTGTGTCTCCAAGAAGGCCTCGCTTGCTTCACAGCTATACTTCTTGTTCGCTTCACCAGGGAAAGATTTGGTCGTCGTTTTTATGCGATTGTCATCTCCACAGCTTCTTATATTGCAGTAAGTTTCTACTGATGATTTCTGTATATTCCTGTCTTTTAATTTATCAATTACTCAGGATGCAAACTAAGCATATATAATTGTTACGTTTTGACAGGGAATAATGATTTTATGGTCCTATGCCAGACAGAGTGCTCAAGAGACGAACTTGCCTCTTTTCTTAGTGGTGTCTTTTCTTTTCGCATTAGGCAAGGGAGGTGCAGATCCACCACTCAAGTCATTTCTTGGGCATAATTTAAGTGAAAGCTACAATATTCGATCAATAGAAAGCCAGCAGAGCAAACATAAGGAGACAAAAAGTGCGGAAATCTACAAAAACATATGGGTCCAGAGTGCTTGGATTCTCGGAGCCACCGTAGGTATCTTTGGCTTTTTGGGACTTCAGTGGGTGCGAGTTTTTCAAATCTCTTCTATAATAATGGTCTTATCTGGTCTCTTGTTCCTACTTTGCGGCAACGGTAGCAGACCTTTTGATCAATCAGTACTTGACAGAGATGCCACCACCGTCCCAAAAAGAGTGAGATACCTGAAGTGGGTTTTGATGTTTAGCTGCATCGCATACAGCTTAGTCCTGTCTACTGGTAATATTTTCTTTCAAGAACAAGGTTCTAAAATGGAGCCTCTGAAGATAAAGGGGAAGGAGGTTCGGTTTTCTGTCATGATTGTAATAAAAAGCGCAGTGAATGAAATCACCATACTGATATATGTTTTATGTGGGGTTAATAAGAAGCAAGGGATGACGCTCGTAAGAATTGGTGCGGGAATGGTTTGTGCAGTAATATGTTGTGTTATAGCATGGAAAGTAGAGATTGAAAGAAAGAAAGTGGCGAATATTGACGAGGAGCCCAAGACAAGTGTGGCATGGTTGAGTCCTCACTATGCTCTATTAGGACTTGTGGAAGGGCTGGCCCAGAGTGGGTTAGAGGAATTGTTGGCACATGAGGATGGGATTGAGACATTGAGGAATCCTGGAAGGCTTTCAAAAGACATGGTTTCATGCGTTGGCAAGATCCTGGGGATTCCTTGTATTTTGGTTGTGAGAAGGTGGTTCGAGAACTTCGACAAAGATGAAGCCCATTTGGATAGGTACTATTTCATGCTGGCCATATTGTCTTGGGTGTTCTTTTGCATCTACCTTGGTGTTGCATATCTGTATATGAAAGTTGTGCCGTGCAGGAGATCATGAAGGTAGTATTGGTTGTTTAAGTTAGATTTTGTTTAATGCATATACTTTGTCAATATTTGCAAGCATTTGATGTGTGTATTATATATATATATATATATATATATATCAATTAGGAAAAAAAGAAAAACCCTTATGACACCAATGGGTCATGGCCTTACCTCTCTTGCTGATTCATAAGCCAACAAAGAAAGTTTTCTTGGTTAAACTGCGTGGAAGCATGTGAAAGTTAAAACCCAACTCAATCGCCCATCTAACTGTAACACAAAAATTTGATTATCTTTGTCATGAAAATAATTGATGCCTGTCTTTCTTTGGTTCGTAAGGACGATGTAATGTACGACTAATTCAAAATTTTATAAGTAAATAAAATGAATTTCCTGCCCTAAATTAGGGAAAAGAAGAACTTCAAATATCTACCAAATCAAAATAAATATATAATTTAATGCCATCGTAAACTATAATTTAAATGCCAAATCATAAATCATAATATTCTTGTGCTGTATTGTATGTTCCCAGTAATATATTGGCATTAACACTGAAGCGCATTTATATATATAAAGACAGCCCAAGTCTTAATCCAAGACAGCGTAAAGTCCCCAAGTGTTAAAATTATTACTTTATTTTTCTTTAAAAAAAAGTGTCCAAGTATTATGTCTATATGTATTAAAAAAAAAACACACAACTCAAATTCACAGTCTCTATTTTTTTTTTTGGGTAAGTGTAAGAAATAAATCTTGTTGATAACAGAGAATATCTTCCTCAAAATATTAACTATTAAAAATAAATATCTTTTCATTATATGTACAAGATTGAAGCTCAAATCACCAATCCCTTACTTAAGCGTAGCGTTTATACTAGAGTCTCCCCATCAACGAACTTTTTCTGATGGACCGGTTAATCTGACGGACCAAGTCCAACCTAGTCCGGGTCTCAGGCTTAACCAGACTGGATTGGTCCTCAGACCGAAAAGTCTAGCCTCATTAATTTTCAGACTAGACTATAGACTCGTGGCTAGCCCGGTCGAATCCGAACCTGGTACGGCGCCCTATAATTATCATGGAAAATAAATACATCTTCCTAATTTCTAATAACAAGATTAACATTTAGATGGGTTAGATTTGATCTCCTATATAGGGAAGGGAAGGGGGCAGAGATCAGGTGGGAAAGCTTGCTAGGACGAAATTGCGGAAGACTGGAAAATACAAGTCAACCGTTCCAATTAAGCCATGTGCCGTGCGTACCAAAAACTTATTTCTTAAGATATGAATGTAACGTCAATTATGTATTAATGGGACACCCTCTCTACTTCATATCATACTTTTCTTATCTGTCTTTTTTAATTAGAAAAAAAATCAAACTGAAACTTTTGAAAAGGATAAAACTCAAGCGTGTTGTCTTTGTTTTATTGTGTTTTAAAAAATGGGGTGTTGGCAAGTTGTTTAATTTTCAACCACGTGCGGCGTCCTTTTGTTATTGATCTTTTGTTTTGTGTTTTTTTTTTAAAAAAAAAAACTCAAACGCGTTTTATTTTATCAAACAACAATTACATTTTTTATGTCTTTAAAGTAGCAATTATGAGCAAAATTTCAATATACAAACGTTGATGAGAACTGCATCATATATTGCTGAAACTCTGAGAAAAATCAAACTATGGAATCCATTCATCACCTTTAAAGATAACTTCCATTGTAATCATATATTCCTTTAAATAGAATGGGGCTTTGCAGAAATTTATTTGAAAAAGAACACTATAAAATATAAATAAATTATTTTAATTAATTATGTCTTATTCTGGAAATGCATGGGGACCGTGTAAGTTAATTAATTAGGGTGACGTTGGTCATCAGCAACTTGTGAGATTGGATTAGAGAAACGTGAACACGGTAGACGAAGTCATCAGATTGAATCAAGTCTGAAAAACTTGACTTTAATTAATTAATTAAGTAATGCATCAACTTCTTATTCCAGTCAATGGAACAACCTAAACTCCTGTTTCAATCGTCGATTCAATGATCACGTGTGCTCACATGCGAAAGGATCAAACTGTCATCAACATCTGTGGAAGCCATGCTTAGCAAACTTTATAAACTCAAATATAACCACATGCTTAAAGATTTAAGTTTTATTTCTCTAATCTTATTTATAAGTTTTTTTAATATGTTTTATTAAAAGTGAAAAATTTTTAAAACTCATTAATTCAGTAAAAAAAAAAAGGTTAACATACAATTTATGGATCATGAACTATAGATACAGAGGTAATTTAAATCCTAAACTTTAAAATTTTAAATCATAAACAATTATAGCTAGGACAATTTCACCTCCACCAATAACTTTTAATAAACGTCTGTCAAATTTACTTAGAAAAAATTATATTTTAAGCCTTAATTTGACAGAAATTTATTGAAAGTGAACAGTAGAGACGATATTGCTAATATAACCCATACATGATTTATTTTCAACCTAAAGTTTGCTAGAATCAACAAAAAAAATTTAAAAAAAAAATACTCAAATAATTCATACCTACTATTCTAGCAATAATATTATACTCCCAAAAACTTGATTTCATCTATCTATACCAGCTAAAACTTTTCTCACAGTCAAAACAATCAGAAATTTAAAATTATAAAAAATCTCAAATATTCCACTGTAGAGAATTTAAAAATAAAGTCGAAAAATATGCTTAAAAATATTTAAAAAATCTATCTAAACTTAAAAATTTTTAAATCATACCTAAAATATTTGATAATGGAGCCTAACTTTAGGAAAGAAAATCACCCACAGGCGTTGATCTCTCCCTCTGTCGGCTCGCACGTTGGAGAAGACGAAACGGGAACAAAAAGGCAAAAGGGGCTGCTTCCCTTGTGGATTTTTATTAGGGAGAATAATTAAAAAATTCTAAAAGAACCAATTAATTTAAGTTAAGTTTTAAATGTTAAATTTTAAAAATTTATAACGCAATCTCTTAATTTTACAACTTCGTTGTGATGAATTTACAATTTATATTTTAAATTTTAACAAAAAAAATAATTTTTTTATACTTTAACAATGTTAAAATTTAAAAAAAAAAGTTATAAATTCATCACAATACAGTTACAAGATTGAGAGATTAAATTATAAATTTTTAAATTTCACACTTGAGACATAACTTAAATTAATTAATCTTTTTAAAATTTCTTTGTCATTCTCCCATAACATTATTAATTCAAGCAAGATTCAAGGGAAGCTAGCTTCAATATTTTTGTTTGATTATTCTAAATTTTTCAACATTTTTTAATAACTCATTTATTAGCATCACATTCAATTGCTCCTATTTTAGGTTCGAAATGACAACAAATGGAGCCATAATTTATCAATAAGGAAAATGATAATAAAATCCTCTCAAATTATATAAATGATAACTTAATCTCTCAAAATATTATAATTTTACTAGAGTCCATAGGGACTTCTCTATCAATAAATTTTAAAGTAAAAAGATCATTTTTCTTTACTAAAAATAATAAGTCTCAATCACAACTTTTAATAAAATAATAACTTTTACTTTATGAATTGCAAAAATTGAATAAGAAATCACAATGTGCCATGTGTAATTTTTATTATTAAAAAATAAGTTTTCAAATCATAGTCACAATTTTTATTTAAAAAATAACCACTTTTATTCAAAAAATAGAAAGAATTAAACAAGAAATTATAATTTGTCAATAATGATAAAATGATCTTTTTAATTTAAAATTTATTGACATAAAAGTCCCTAAAGATTTTAATGAAATTATAATATTTTGAAGAACCAAATTATCATATATGTAATTTGAAAGATTTTATTGTCATTTTCTCTTATATTGACCTGCACCATTTTCGCATTGGCTTCATCAAGCTGGTTGGGCTTAGCTTGAGCTACAGCTGTGATGAAACGCCGGTGAGACAAGAAGCCATTTTGACTAACCCGAAGCACGGCCTTGCGTCTCATTAACAAAAGACTAATATGGCTGCGCTTGGTGCAAGCATATCTTATATTAAGAAATTGAAGGTTAAAGTCTTTGCAGCCACGTCGAACATCAGTTGAGAGAAGGGAGAGCGAGGAAGAAGAAGAAGGAAGAGGAAGAGGAAGAGGAAGAGAGAGAAAAAAGAGTGAGGAAGAAGAAGAGACCAAAGTCAGAAATCAATTGATTTTGAGAGGGGCAAATGAGTCATTTCACCCAAAAAACATAATTTCAAATAAGCCTTTTAGGCTTTCATAGCAATATCAGATTCTATTAGCTCTTATCTACAAATTTCTTATTTTTATGAGCTCTAAATGTGACTCTCCCAAAATGATAAGCTTCCAACATGTTACTAAGCTGAGCCAAAAACCTTATAGTAGGTCTAACTTGATCTGAATAAGTACTTGGGGGTCCCTTTTTTCTTAATTGATGGCCGCAGACAAATCATGCTAACCGATATGTTGAATCATGTCAACATATAAAATATTTCTACAACTAAAAAGTCTAGTATAAAAAATATGAACATTTAAAGTATTGATAGAGGCTTGATAAATCAACCAATTCATACATCCATTTGTTTCTCTAAAGACGTGATTAAAGGTGATAGTTCAGTCTTGCCTAATAAGATCTCTAATTTTGTTGATAGCAGTAAAAAGTAGGTAATTAGTAGATAACTTATTGCAAATTAATGAGAGTTTCAATAAAATCAGAGTAGACATTACCTTTGTTAAACTTTTCAGCTCAACAGATTTTAAATTTTTTCAAAATTCTCATAAGTTTAATTGCTGTACTTAGGTGATTTCCTAAATATTTGGAAAAACTTTTAATTCAATTGCCTTGTTTGTCCTAGATGAAACCATCATAGGAAGTTGCACTGTAAATGTTGACAGAACTATTTATATCCAACCTAACCCATCCTTCTTAGGGAGAGTCATTTTGGGGGGGTTCCTTTAATTCATAGAAGGGCCAAGAAAGGTATACTCTTGCCTCTTGCCCAACAAGTTCAATCTAGGCTATCATCTTGGTGAAGTATATTTCTGAATATGACAGCGAAAACCGTGCTTATAAAGTTTGTTAGCCATGCCTATTTGTTGGTGTGCTGAAGGAGCCTCTTGAGCGGGAGTGTCTCACAACCCAATTAAGTTATGGCTAATACATAACGTGACTTATAAGATTTTTAAAAAAATACTTGTACCATGGGTGGAAAAGCGAGAAACACATGGAGTGGCAAAAAATGAATAAAGAAAGCAAGGTCACATACAGAAAAGAGAAAAAGACGAGCAAAGAAAGGGAAGTACTCAAGGCTCCTGTACAGATGGAAAAGCTTCTGAGAGGATCCAAGTCCCTCAGCAAACAGCCACACCCCACCGAAACAAGAGCTGAATATGGATCCTCTTACAAGTGATCCCCATAGCATCCCTCAACGACAGAAATTATGACCATTCAATTCATATTTAACACCTCATATTTTATCACATCATCTCATTAAAATAACACTGCTACATAAAAAGGCTATCGGAGCATTCACCTTTACCCTTTCAGAGCATTTTTAAAATGCTCTGAAAATAGGAGCTCCTGTATATATGGGAATGTTTAAAAAACGCTCTTACAGGTTAGCTCATGTACTCATTTCTTTTTTTTTTTTTTTGTAGAAAAGCTCTTATAAACCATAGGGTGGACCTACGGGAGCTGTTCTGTCTAAAAAACACTCCTGCAGGTTGACTGACGAGAGCTTTTCTACAAAAAAAAGGCTCCCATATAAGACCCCTACCGGAGCATCCCTTGATTCCTTTCAAGAAATGCTCCCATATCTTTTTTTTTAAAAAAAATATTTAATTCATTTTTTATTCTCTACATGCATTGTAGATTGTGATTAATATACAAAAAAATAATTATATAATTAATTTAAGTCTAAAAGCAATTCCATTACATACAAAAGTTCAACTAACTAATATTCAATACTATAACACACATGATTATAATGTAGATTACAATCTAAGAATTTTAAAACAATTCCAATACTCTCATGCTCACAAATACGTACATCTAACACCATTTTTGCTTGGCTAAAGTATTCATTCACATTCTATCTGCAAAAAATAAAGAAAAAATAATGATAGATTTATACATTTGTACAAAGGATAAATAATTAGTTTTGCTCTAAAAATAGATGGATCCTAATATTATGTGCTAACACAGAAAAACAGATTGATTGTTGAAGAATATTCCAGGAGGGTTACATGAATACTTTGTATGTCCAACAGGGAGTAAAGCTACATAGTTTAATTCATTGCGCACACAAGCAAAAAATAGTAACAATAGAAGTCAATCTAACTTGTGATAGAGTACAATTGAGCACATTAGAAAAATTAAAGGAGGGATTCTCGTTATACATAATCCATGTATAACAGTATGCTTTATCAGCTAGCAATTCTAGCTTCGCCACTCACCAATTCTAGAAAAAAATGATTTGTCTCCTCATTCAGCAACAAAAACCACATGCTTCAGCAAACCATCAAACAATAATATATATCAAACTATATATCATACCTCCATAGACTCGATTCAAGCCAGCCTGCTGGAGGTTCTGTTTTTCTTTTTTTTTTAATTCAGACTCTAATCACTGAGCTTCTTCTTCTTCTTATGAAAAAAAATACATGCATGGCTAAATTAATGTAAATGATCCTAACTACATATGAAGTGTTGCAACATGAAAATACACGTTTAGATGGATGAACAAATTAATATAACGGAAAATAACAAGGTGGGGTTGAAACACTTGAAGTAGTGTAGAATATATCCAAGTCTGGATTACGGATTATTGGGCGATAATTAATTAAGATGTGATGAAGATAGTAACTATCAGCAGCAAATGCGCAAGTCTCTTGTATAAATTATAATTATGATGTGCCAAGCTAGCTAGCTAGTGATGAGCTATACACCTCGTTTATATGAGAAAGAGAAAGAATGAAGGTATTGTGCAGCAAGAGCCTGTATTTGGATTTTAGGGAATGTGGCCAAATTCCATAGGGCTTGACAGAATCCAAAATCTTGATTATATCAAAATTGAAAGTTTGATATAATCAATAAATACTTCCAATTTGCATGGTGCAAACTTGGTCTTTTCTCAAGTTAAAATATCATACAATTCCCATCATATTATATCCTGATAACTTGAAACACGGATTGAAAATTTAATTTCATTGGAAGTATTTCAATTATTTTCACTCTGTCCATCTACGCATGCCATATCATAGGTTTTAGCCCAAAATAATCTTGTAAAGAAGCCAAGTACCTGAATGGCAATATTTCATCAACATAATGAAAAATTCATCCAAGAACAGCAGATACAATAGTCATTGCCCTGTGAGTGACAAATAGATATTAGTAACATGAAGAATGACATATTATTGAAGAATCTATACTTTTATAGATAGAAAAGACATCAATAACAAAAAGGCAACCAAATTTTTTTAAACTTAGCAAATAAATACTAGTAAGATGCAGCCAATGCGATTGAGACTATTGGCTTGTAGACACATCACATGCTTAAGGACTACAGCATAGGGGAAATTCGAGTTCTCTCTAGAAGGTTTGGCAAGAAAATCATTTACTAGTGATTCTTTCCATTAATTTGACCCCAGAGAGGATTTTACTCTTCCACTTTTACTATACTAGACTATCAATATTTTCATAGTAGTTACTTCAATCAACTTATTGCTCAAAGTGAGTAATTATAAGAAAGTCCATGTAAGTGAAGTATAAACCACAAGGAACATCTATGTCACTTAAACATAAGCATATGGAAGTACAACGAATGTCCTAATGAAAGTGAGAGCAGCTAAATTCCTAGCAGCTAATAGTGCCTGCACAAGACATCATATATCCAAATTATACGACATATCATTGCAATACCCAAGCATAATCATTCTACTTTGCCCTAAGTCACAACCAAAAAACAAAAAACAAAAAAAAGGTTTGAATAAACTTTGTGCCCTTAGGTTCACAAGAACAAGCTTACATTCAGAGCAAGAGTTTGTTTATGTAACCAAACATCTTTTGAAATGAAATTACGAAAATTAACAGAAAGGTCACCATGCTTTAGTAATTCTAACCTTCTATTTCTCCATAATTCCATTTTTGAATAGGAATTAGCAAGCCATGGATTGTTGCACAGTGCACACTTACTACAATGAAGAAGGTCCTGTCACCTAGTTCTTAAAAAAAAATTAGGAGGAAAGCCTATAATAAAGTATACAGGAAGAGAGAATCAATCCTTGAGATGCAATCAGTAAAATCTAAGTGATTAAAATTAAATTTAAGAAAACATTGCTAGGTCCATCACAATTTGCTTTCACTAACTTTTCAATCTTAAATGAGGGCAAAGAGCAACTCCAAGTTCCATTGTCCCATCTAAATGTATTACTTTGCTTAAAGGAAAGTCTGTCAAATACCATACCCTAAGATCAACTCCATTAACAGCACAGAGGCAGACTAATCGAATGGGTCTGGGTGTGCAAACAAATCTGAACTTCGGGTGCAAACTTTGAATGGCGCGAGGAATATGTTCGATGGCAGAAGCAGGAATGACAACTGAGGGAGGAGGAAGAAGAGCTTTGATGGCGCAATGAAGACTACAACTCGACTTCGGGAGGAACAACCGCGGTTGGTAAACTCAACAAGCTGGACGAATGAACTCACGATTGGTCAACTCGGAAGCTAGTGGGCTTGACAACGGTGGCAGGGGTTCGACGACGGCTTCATGGATGGCAAAAGGAAAGGAGTTCGGTGGGTTGAAGCAGTGAGAACCAAGGTAGGTTTCGAATGAGGTGCTGGTAAAGAAAGAAAGAATTAAAGGACTTACACAAAAAAAAAAAAAAAACAACGGCAAATCGCAAAAGCTCCCATAGGTTTTAATTTTTATTTTTTTTTAATTTTTAAATAACATGAAAAATACCTTATATGAGCTTTTATGTTCAAAAAAGCTGCTACAGGTTTTAATTTTTAAAAATAATAAAAAAAGAAAAAAGCTTTATGAGAGCTCTTCTACTCAGAAAAGCCCCCATATGTACTCAATATACGAGAGCATTTTAGAGCAGAAACACTCTTGTTGTATTTATTTATTTTTATTTTTTAACTATCTGCGGGAGTATTTTTGTTTTAAAAAGCACTCAAATAATAAACATATCAAAGCTTTTTTAACCACAAAAAAAAAATACGATCCAATATGTTACCCCTCATGTTTTTAGAGCTTTTTTATATTAAAACGCTCCAATATAGGTTTTCCGATAGCCTTTTTTTCTTGGTAGTAGTGTAATTTAATTTTAAAAAATAATTCTTTCACAATTTATTTTACCATTTTAGATATATTTAAAAAATAATCTTTCACAATGTATTTCATCACTTTAGATATATTTTTATACCCATAATTTAAAATGATTTTTTTATTTTTAAAACTTATTCTAAAAAATTTACTATATAAATTTTTTTTAAAACAGATTTTTATTAAATATGTCAGGCTAGAGTTTAAATAAGTCAAGCAGTAGCTCTCTGCTAACAATCTAAATAATCATAAAATCTTGCAGGGATCTACAATATGGTTTATTCAAACTTTAACTTAATTTATTTAATAAAAATATTAAATATATTTAAAAAATCTGCAAAGTAATTTTTTAGAACAAGTTTTAAAAATAAAAAAATTATTTTAACATGAGATAATATGATAACATATAAAATATTGTATATGGATTGAATGGCCAGGATTTCTTGCTGTTGGGGGATGCTGAGAGGATTGTTTTTAAGAGGATCCGAATCCAAACCCGTTTGCAGGTTGGGTTCAGTTTTAGTGCTAAGCGCTAAGATGAGTAGGAGGAGCTCATCTCCAAAATGCACCGTTTCGACTAAAAACTTGATGGAGATTCAGTTGCGCATCATTTCAAAACGCATCGTCTACAAGGCTCCTTTAAAATAAATAATTTATAACTAAAAAACTTGGCGCAAAAGCTGAGCGATTGGCATTTCGAAAGGGTGAAAGGTGTCGACTTTCTGTCAAGAAGGAGCTTGAAATTTGATCTTCGACATTAACTTTCAATGCAAATGAAGGAGGAAGCCAATTAAAAAAGTCTGATACACCTCTCTTTTGTGAGCAACAGCCGTCAATGGAGATTGAAAGATGCAATCTTTTTTATCCTATTTTATTCAATTATATATCTATATATTTTGGCAAAAAAAATTATATATCTATCTATATGAACTAAAATTTATATATATTAATGGTGAAGTGATGGATTTCAGTTTTTATTCATATGCTTAAAAAATTATATTCAAATGCTTAGAAAAAGCTTAAGAATTATATTTTTTTTATATTTAATGATCCTCTATTATGTGGCTTTAGTTTTATATTTCAATTTCTCTCTTCGACAAACATGCTATTTCAATTTTATATAAATTAATTTTTGCTGCTAACCCATTTGCTTTGCATTGCAAAATGATTTAGAGTATTTTACCCTCATTTTTACACAAGTATTATATATTTAAGATTAATAGAAAAAAAAAAGGAATTGTTGCTTTAACTCATATATATTATCATACTCTTTTACATTTACATGATGATACTTTTTAAAAATTATATTTTTTTGTATACAGGAATCAAATAGTGGAAGATGAATTAAAACTTGAAATAGGGAGGGAGTTTGAGAATTTGAATGAAGCATGGAATTTTTGGAATGAATATGGGAGTAAAATTGGATTTGGAGTTAGAAAGTACAATGGAACAAAGAGTAAAAAAGATGGTTCCCTTATTACATATAGATATGTATGTTGTAGGGAGGGTGTTCGAAAAAAAGATAAAAGAGAGACAACCTCTTCTAGATATTGACCGAAGACAAGAACCAAGTACAAAGCAAGGATGATTGTATCTCGTGTTGATCAAAAGTTCAGAATCACTAAGTTTAATGAAGAACATAATCACCTTCTTCTTACACCAAAAACAATGCATTTGTTACCGTCACGGAGAAGTTTATCAGAAGTTCAAGCTCATGAAATGGATCTTGCAGAAGAATCTGGACTTGAACCTAAGGATGCTTTTGACTTAATGAGTACATATATAGGTGGTCAAGAAAATCTTGGTTATACTATGATAGATGTAAAAAACTACTTGATGTACAAAAGACGAAGACATATAAAGTTTGGAGAGGTGGGATGTCTACTTGAATATTTTCAAAAACAAGTTGGCCAGAATCCTACATTTTATCACAAATATCAATTGGACAATGAACAAAAATTACCTATGTGTTTTGGGCAGATTCTCGTATGGTAATAGACTATGCTCATTTTGGTGAGGTTGTGTCACTAGACACTACATACAGTACAAACAAGAATCATCGACCCCTTACTCTTTTTTCTGGCTTTAATCATCATAGAAGTGTGGTCATTTTTGGAGCAGCATTATTATATGATGAGACCATTAAATCTTTCAAGTGGCTACTAGAAACCTTTTTGGATACTCACACTCAAAACAAGCCTCAAACTGTGTTTACTAACCAAGATCAAGCCATGGCTAGAGCATTGAGTGAAGTGCTTCCTAATACAAGACATTATTTGTGCACTTGGCATTTATTGCAAAATGGCATCAAACACCTCGGGATTTGATGAAAGATGGTTCACACTTTTTAACCGACTTCAAGAAGTGCATGTTTGATTATGCTGAAGTGGATAAGTTTGAAGAAGCGTGGAGCGAATTATTATCTGCTTACAATGTCCAGGAAAATGGGTGGTTGAAGTCTACTTATAATATTAAGGAGAAATGGGCCAGGTGTTATATGAAGGATGCTATTGTATTAGGCATGAGAAGCACACAAATTAGTGAAAGTGTGAATGCTGATATAAAGAGGTGTACAAAGCCAAAATTAGACATTAATTGATTTTTCAAGAGGTTTGACAAAGTTGTAGCAAAGAAGCGATACAAGGAAGTGCAACTTGAGTTTGAATCTCGACAAAAGATACCTAGAATGGTTAATCAAAGTGCACCTATGTTGCGTCAACTTGTGTAATCTTATACTCCCACTGTCTTTGACATGTTTCAAGAACAATGAGACCTCCAATTTTCTGTGAAGTTAGTTGAACGTGATGAGAAAGAACCATTGTTTGTATACATGGCCCATATGATAGATAAAGAGGGGAAATGGAGAATTGAGTTTAATCCTGACACGTGTGAAATTTGTTGCACTTGTCGAAAGTTTGAGACCACAGGGATATTGTGTTGTCATGCATTAAAAGTATATGAGTCCAAAGATGTAAGAATTATGCCTGAGCAATACATTCTCAAGAGGTGGACCAAAGAAGCAAGGAATGATGTCATACATGGTGTTAGAGGAAATGAGATACAAGCAGATCCTAGACTTGACATCACACAAAGGTATAGACAGCTAATGATCAAGATGGTAAGATTGGCCATAAAGGCAGCTAAGACTTCGGAAGGATTTACTCATGTTCAGAGATGTATCATTGAGTTAGAAAATGATATACCTGATGATAATGAAAATGATACTTTTGAACCAGTTATAGAGTCACAAAATATGCCAAAGGGATTCAAAAAAAGAGATGAAAAATCAAGAAAGAGACGTTGGAAAGGATGGGAAGAGAAGAATTTACAAAAAAGAAGAAGAGTTGTATCAAAGGTATTGAAATTTAATTAATATATAACACCAAAAGAAGTTATTATTTATTTTGTATTTATTTCTTATAGGACTCTCAACAGGCTTCATCATCAAAAAGAAGAAGAGAAGCTGATCAAATGGAAGGTACACAAATTCAAGTCTCAATACAACCTGCACAAACACAAGCATCAGCCCAAGTTGCTCCAGCACAGAATATTTTTGTACCATTACATCACAACCATTGTTATTTACAAGCTTGTTGATGGCACAAGGCAATGAAGTTCCTTCACTTGAAGCCATAGATTTTATATCAAACTACTCATAAGGTAATGAATAAAAAAATAGATGCACACAATTTATATCAAAATAACATTTTATTCATTTCAATAATGTCATATACAATTTGTAGCAATAGCCTCTTAGGCACACAATTTATAGCATTTACATACTCAAGACTGAACCATTTAGGTCAATCTAAGAAAATTTAGATCTAAAATGACACTTTTACATCATTTAATGCAATCACTGAATTTTACAACTATATTCTCTATTCTTTTCAGCATACTATGTACATCAATTTAGACACAAACATGTTTAGTATTCTGCGAACTGCATGTTGCACTTCAAGCATTGAGAACATCCTTTGTTCTTAAACTAGACACTAATAAATTATATATTCTTTGTCCTTTTCAGCACATTGATTTTGCAAGCTGGACATCTTTTGGACCTTTTGTAAAGCAATTCTGAAACAACTGTGGATATTTTTTGTGAACAATTCTGGAACATCTGGAACAATTTAGCACATTAATTTTGCAAGCTGGACATCTTTTGGACCTTTTGTAAAGCAATTCTGCCAAACATTGTCAACACAGAAGTAGTAGATTGAAATAGAATCAAAGCTTTCAGTCATCATATAAGAATAAATTCTTTAATCTCCATTTTGGATTATGTGTTTCAACATATAATTTTTATATTAGAGAATAGTGACATGTGAAAGTCAAGTATGGCAATTGAAAATGAAACTACATGGCACATCCTTAAGTAATGTGGTTGAATTGTTGCATGCAATTTTCAAGTTATCAAACATTACATTAACATTACATCATTAGCTCTCTGAAAGGGGGAACTGCCCATGTCATATATTAGGAAATGTGATGATAAAATCATAAAAATTGAATCAAAGTATTTTAAATTAAAAATCCTTTCCAATCAGATGCTTGAGACATGTTCTTTACCTTGCTTATCTTGCATTGTACATATTTTGATAACTTGCCTATCTTGCCTCACCTAGATTATTAATTAATTCTTTAGCTAGTTAGATGTCAGAAGTGGATACCTTCAATAGAACTAACCAAGATACAAAAAAAGTTGAAACCAAATTAAAAGGTACGTACTCTTTTGAGGAGCCTAGCCTCTCAAATCTCAACTATATTTTCCATTTTATGAAAAGTAATACAAGCTTTGCAAGTTCTAAAAAGACATATCCTACATAGGACATGAACTAGGGCAAGCGTGGAACATGTATAACCAAATGCAAAACAATCCCTCAAGTCAAATAGTAAAGAAAAATAGGATACTCACTACATACGGAATAGGTGCATCCAAAAACTCCAACATATCATTAGGTAAAGCCTGGCAGGTCAAGCACGTATCAAATGCCAAGAGATAGGTATCAAGAATAGTGCTATGAATAAATAACTATTTGCTTTGAGGATGGAAAGAGAAAGAAATCAAACTGGCATCAGTAGGCTTTGCCACAGGTAGGGGTGAATTAGAGAATAATTGATAAGTCTAAAACATATAAGATACCCTGGTGATCATCAAAGAAAACTAAAAAGTTATAAATAAATAAATATATCTATAGGGAGAGGCAATAACTTGAAAGTACCCAAGTAATTGGTGGCAAGTGTCATCTCAATTTTCTCTTCGGGTACCTCCAAGTTTTGAGAGAATATTCCAGCATTGTTTTTGTTAAACATATTCTCTCTTTTAGAATGATTTCTTTTTTTAAAAAAAAAACAGAGAGAAGGTGAGATTAATCAAATTATTTCATACCTGTGTATCACAAATTTACTTACATGTGGATATTGAGGGGAAGCTATAGAGCCAAAAACTCAGAACAAAATCTATGTACAAAAGCAAAAGAATTGAGATCAATTTCCAACACTACAACCTTAGTGTTTGGACTTTCTTTCAAGATGTTTTGTCTCACTTCTCTTGCCTTCTTCAACTCCCTTGCACCATTCACTACTCTCACTCCTCTCACTTCTCTATATCCTTATGTTTATAAAAACTCAAATAGAAAATAGAAATTTAATTTTCCATATACTGCAACAGAAAAACACTAGCATCTAAAGAGGAAATTAGAAAAATCATGTGATACCTGCAGATCTGATGCTTCTGTGCAACGTCCAAGCACAGCCACACCGATGAGGCTTAAACGTCTAACCAAATCCAATATCTCCAAGCGCCAGACCTGTTAAACCAAATCTGATGAGATGAGCCAATCAGCTAATAAAGAAGAAAAAGAGATGAGCTAAAGAAATCACCGAAGAGATGAGCCAAATATTAGGAAACTCATGAACACCGACTGAACAAGTTTTGCGAAGTGGAGAAGGGAACGCTAGTATCCTCGGGAGCCTTCAACTGATAAGGTGAAAATATAGTTAATAAATCAACGGTTAAGATTAAAATATAATGAATGGTCAAGATTGTTTGTTTCTTTATTTAAACGGTGCGTTAGAGATGAGCTCCATATATTCATCCCACCGCTTAGCACCGAAACTGATTTCTTTACAGGTTATGTTTACAAAAAGACGTGCACACTTCATGCTTTCCTCGCACATTCACCAGAAGCCTCCAAACTTTCACAACTGCCACCCACCCACCTTTTTTCTCTCAAGCTGTATATATGTCTGTTGTTAACAATTTGGAGTTACCTCAGATTTTGAGCGTGATTTAAATGAATATATTGCATGTTATAATAATAATAATTTAATTTAATTAAATGATTATAAAATTTGTTTATTATATAATACTCAAAAAGTACCTATTCTCAAATTTTTAGAAATGATCGTGATTTTGGACTTTTGAAATGAACTATATTTTAATAATTTTTAAGTAGAGATAAAATTGAATAGTGATAATTAAAATACTCCTTTTATTTTTATTTGTAAGAGAAAAAACTGTATCACACAGTTTAATAAAATTAATTAACTATATTAATTATATTTAAAAATAAATAATTTGACTAAAATTTCCTTTATTAATTATTTTTTATAATTGTGAATAATGAAATTATGAATATTAATCTAAAAAATTTATAATAAATGTGTATTAAAAAATGTAACTTTGTTTATATAAAAAAGCAAACTAAAAATGAAAATTTTTTCCATAAATAAAAAGAGAGAGTACTAATTAAGAGCTTGAGCTACCATTCGAATCTAAATCCGAGTTACATCACATCTTATTTCAAAATTAATTTAATTATTAGTTATTTCATTTTATTATATATTAATTAGTAGTTTGGCAAATATATATATATATATATATATATATAAATTAGTAGAGTAAGCCTTTCACGTTTATACCCTCTCGTCCCCTCTCGTCAGTCTCGTTCCATATTTAACCAAGCCTACCACTTCTCAGATTGCGGTACCTGGTTCGAGAATGGAGGCGCAAGATGAAGACGTGAGGGTTGACAGGCAACTTATGGGAATTTGTGGTAAGAGCCACGAGAGAAGTCGAGACTACAAAGACCCACCTCCAGCACCGTTTTTTGAGCCTCATGAGTTATCATCGTGGTCATTCTACCAAGCAGGCACAGCAGAGTTTGTGGCCACATTCTTGTTCCTTTACATCTCTGTTTTAACCGTCATGGGCGTGGCCATCTCTCCCTCCAAGTGTTCCTCTGTGGGTGTCCAAGGCATCGCCTGGGCATTCGGTGGCATGATCTTCGTTCTCGTGTGCTGCACTGCTGGCATCTGAGGTAATAAATCGAACATCAACTGTTTGATGAAATGAATCTTGTACATTTATTGCATGAATATACTTGTTGGGGCATTTGACGCAGGGGGTCACATTAACCCAGCCGTGACGTTTGGGATGTTGTTGGCAAGAAACGTGTCACTGGCTAGGGCAGTGTTGTACATGACAATGCAATGCCTGGGAGCTATATGTGGTGTTGCGGTTGTGAAAGGGTTTAAAGCAGGCCAGTACGAGATGGCCCAAGGGGGTGCCAACAATCTTAGAGACGGATGCTCCATAATCAGTAGCCCTGGTGCAGAAATTGTTGGAACGTTTCTGCTTGTCTATACTGTCTTCTCCGGCAATGATGCCAAACGAAAAGCTCGAGACTCTCATGTCCCTGTAAGCAAGATCTTATCTCATTATAAAATGTATAAAGTTTTTCTTGTGATCCCAAAAACTTACGTGCCAGGAATGAAGCCATGAGTTTTGTATGGATGATGAATAGGTGTTGGCACTACTCAGTAACAAATGCAGAGGGGGGCAAGGGGGGGTCCCCCCCCCCCCCAAAATCCAATGATCCTTCGTATTTTCTTTGCAAAAAATGTGAAAATTAATTTTTGCTCCCCCAATATTTTTTATGGCTTTAGATTCCCCTCCCCCCCAAATGTTGGCAAGTCTGGATTCGTCTGGCACCGCTGGCTATTGGGTTTACCCTGCAATTCGTATCACAGGGACTCGGATCTACCCTGCAAGAAGTCTCGGTGCGGCAGTCCTTTACAACAAGGATCAAGTTTGGGACGACCATGTGAGTCATCACCCTCTTTTCTTCGATCATTATATTATTCAACTTCTTCTACTGGATAATGCATACAATGGATTTGCGTAATATACTCTTTCATTCAATCGCAATTATTTCATCTGTCAACTTTTTGTCTGCAGTGCATCTTCCGGGTGGGACCCTTTCTTGGGCCAGGACTTGCAGCTTTGTATCATGAGATTGTCGTAACGGCATGGAATTCCCCCCCCCCCACCCTCAAAAGGCAAATTATGAGTTACCTGCTATGTCTTGAATTTGTAATTTCATTATCCTCCTCAAAGACATAATTAGGTAATCAAACGCATGCACTAAAATTTAAATCGTCCTTTTCTCTCTCCCCTCTCTCTCCAATTCTGTATAGTTTATCAATTAGTCTGTTTTGAATTTTACTTGTTAAAATTTACTTATTACAATTTTTTGGTACAGTACCTATCACAATTTAAAAAGATGAAAAAAGACAAGAGAAGGTTAAAAAGAAAAAAGAAATAATTGGGGAACCTGTGACCAGGCTTCGGGTATTGCATCTTTTTTTCAAATAATAAAAATGAATAACGCGGCCTGATTCTATTTTTTGGACTTTGAGATTGGGCCTATTACTCTAAAATTGGACTGCTAAAATGTGCAGTAGGCCTAATTGTTGTCCCTGAAGTGTTTAAAAAAGAATAAATCAACAATCTTGTTAATAAAATTGTTCAATAACAAAATGTTCGTGGGTAGCAAGGAATCTTATATATTTAACAATTATGAAAAAGTTTATGATGTTCACAAAGTCCCGCTGTCAGGCCTAACAGTTGAATTATCGGGTAGCTTAAGCGTCTAATTTATCCCACACATGTTGATTAAATTGTCAAACAAGCAAGATATATTTATACATATCCACACAACCCCCCCCCCCCAAAAAAAATAGTATAAACAGTATATCCGACAGTTCTTAAGAAACCTTCCACGGTTCCACCTAATATATTTTTTCCCCAGTCTTTCAAATATCTATTACTTGCATCATGGGGTCACAGAGTTGGTATTCTTGTCTCTTCTTTTTCTATGGGAGATGGAAAAAACAGTATAGTTGAAATAACAAAAAAAAAAAATCTTGTCAAAAGTCCTAATCAGCCACGACAATTATTCTTTAATTTTATACAAGGTTACGGTCCGATCCTTAATATAAAACATCTTTTCAATTCACTAATCCTAATATCATTAATTTTAAATGATTATTTTTTATCTGAATCTTTGTTATTTTAAAAAAATGAAATTTAATATGTCAGCATTTTAAAAAAAATTAATATTTAAAAGTTAAATGAAGGAATTTTTTGTGAATGAAACTAAAGGCAATATTAAAATTAAAGGACTAAAAAGATATTTTATAAAATTAAAAGATTGAAGTGAAACATGTATAAAATTAAAAGATTAAATATGTATTTTAGCCTATAATAATTAATCCCAACTGTGCCTTACGTTTATCTGGTCTCTTGTAGTAATTTCATGGTCATAAAACATTATTGTCAAATTTCAAAATTTTTAACCTTTTTCTTTCTTGACAGATAAATTCCCAATTATTATTTTTTTTATGGAAAAATATAGAAAGTACCTCGCCCGTCATCACTTCTGCTCGGCTCTGAATTTTATCAGTCCAAAATTATTTGGCTTAAGCCAGCTGCATTTTGGTTGAACTCTGATTATTTGATAATAGTAGGAAGACATAATTTAATTATTTTTTATATTGATATTGATATATTGACTATGTTAAATAAGTGATATTGATAATATTTAGATAGATCGAATACACCATGTTATTTATAGTATGTTTAATTAAAATATTTTAAGTAATATAAATAAAAATCTTGTATGACATTTTTTGAATTAATTTAATTTTAATAACAAAATGCACATTTAATTATTTACCTTTTTTTTTTATTATCGTTAATGTTATAATCAATTTACATTTTATATTATCTAAATGTCATATTTTTATCATGTGATGCATTCAATCTATTTAAGTATTTCTCTTATACATTTGCGAAACTCCCTCCATTTCAAAATAATGGTTTGCTTTAGAATTTTGATTGAGCATTAAATGTTTCCATTACATTTAATTTTAGCTCGTGAGTAATTAAAAAAAATGATGGTTGAGGTTCAAGTTTTATAATATATATATATATATATAACTTGATAATTCTATATATATATATATATATATATATAATCATTTTAGTAAAATATCATTGGATTTTGTAACAAGTGAGATGATTTATTTAATAGTTTTTCTTAATATGTAGATACAAGCTTAAACCACAATTATTTTAAAGCAGATTGAGTATTTTAAATTCCAGTCCTCTTTCAATTTATAAATAAAAAGAATTGCACTAATTGACCTCTTGACTCACGTGCATTTTAAAGGGAGACAACCCTCACGAGGGGAGCCTCTTCCGTTTTTTTTCCTAGTTTTCTCTTTACTTTTCTAATACTCACAATTCATATTTTTTATTAAATAATTTTTTAATTATATAATTAATAAGGGGTGAGGATGGAGAAGTGAAGAGAAAAGGAAGAAAAAGAAAAGGACAAGCTCCTTGTACCCCAACCCATAGCCATTTCATGTAAGTGTGGGGTATTGGGGCTAGTGTGGGACAGCGTGCGTGCAGGCGAGCGGCCGAAAAAAAAAAAAAAAACTAGTGCCTTTTCTTCTTACAAGTACATTTGTGAGTAAAGTCGCAACAAGACTGTCCCATTTTCATGTATATGTATAATTCTAATTTCTTATTTATTCATCAAGTAAATAAATATAAAATGCAAATTATATTGATTTATAAAAATATTTTTATTATGCATGCAAGATGAATATTATTTTTTATTGATAAAAAAGAGCAAAATTTAATACTGATCAAGTATA